CCATAGTAAGTACTCGATAATGTCAGCACTCACTAAACCAGTGATGGCGAACCTATGACATGCGTGTCAGAGGTGACAGGCGAACTCATTTTTTTGGTTGATTTTTCTTTGTTAAATGGCATTTAAATATATAAAATAAATATCAAAAATATAAATCTTTGTTTTACTATGGTTGCAAATATCAAAAAATTTCTATATGTGACACGGCACCAGAGTTAAGTTAGGGTTTTTCAAAATGCTGACACGCCGAGCTCAAAAGGTTCACCATCACTGCACTAAACTATTACTTTCATTGTTATTACTTCCAGGAAAAGCTGCATGTCCAAACATTGGACCGCTCAGACAGTACTTTTCCTCTCCAAGCATCTCCCCTCATGAGAATTACCGGTGCTAGCAAAGCAGAGATGCTGAGAACTGTAATCCGTTCTTTGGCAGCAGTCTAAGAGAGAAAAAGCTAAGATTTTGATAAATCCACTTCTGTCAATGTTAATTTTCCTCCACTCCCATCAACATTCCCTTCCAACAGTAAGAAATTTTGGGCAAGAATCTAAACATTTATCTACATATTAGTATTATGTAGAGGAATAAACCTTATACTATTAAGACACAGTAACTGAATCAATCCCATCACAAGTGAAATGCTGACATTTAGTTTCTAGCAAGAAGCAAATTAAATATGGAAACCAGCAGAAAAAAAGAGGCTGCCAGAGGGATTAGTATAATAAATCATATAATTAGTATCTCAAACCTAATAGACATTCTACATTTAAAAATCAAAAAATGAATTAAAAATTCTAAACAGCTAAAGACAAATACAAAACTTCTGGTGGAAAAAATGCATTAAAAAGAATCTGAAGTGACAGCAAAGAGCAATCAGGGCACTTTGGGGGCTGATGCAAATGTACAATGTCTTGATAATAGTGGTAGTTAAATGAGGGTATTCATTTATTAAACAATCTGAACACTTAATATGGGTGCATTTCACTACATGCAAATTAAGTCTCGATAAAGTTGATTTTTAAGAGAATTTGAGAAAAATAAACATAAAAAATTACATATGAAGTATTAAAAATTTGGATGCTGATGTTATGCTAATAATGGCTAACACTTCTATAGCACTCTTATGTGCCAAGTACTGTTCTACACATTTTTACATATATGACTTCATTTGCTCTTCATACCAATCCTCTGAAATGGTTTAGTATGATCCCCAATTTACAAATAGTGAAACTGGGACACAGAGAGATTAAGTAACTTGTCCCAAATCACAAAGCATCTAAGTGCAGAACCAAAAAAACAACAGATAAAGGTTGTAAAGACAATACACTAGAGAAGAAATCCAGCAGCCAGTTAACTTGGAAATGTGCACTTAAAAAGTGGTATTATTTTTTAAGTGGTATTATTTTGTCCATGGGAATCGGGAAAATTAGCAAGACTGACAATATCCACAGTTTGCATTGCAGAGATGCTGGGAAGCAAACATATACTGTTGCCAGAGTATTTAGAAGTCAGTCTGGCAATAACTATAAAAAAATGTCTGTGCATATACATTTACACAGCAACACTACTTCTAATATTCTATACTATAAAATATTTACACACTTGCACAAGGATCTGTGGTAGGCAGTGAGACAGGCATGAGCAGAGCAAGGACGATGGCTCAGGTACAGAAAGAAGGTCACCAGGGCGGAAAGCCCTAGGTGCCAAGGAAGAACAGCTGTAGGATGGAACCTCATCCCCAGAGTGACCTTTCCGCCTTAGACATAACATCTAGGCCTCAGTTGTATTTCAGCTCCAGGCCCAGGAAAACAGCAAAACCAGATAAGCAACACCACAGCTGACCTCAGGATCAGCTGCATTGGATCATGACCCCTTGCCCTGGTGCTGACCAATCGATCAGTGGCGACCCTGACCCTGAAAGGACACACCTGGAAAGCACAGTAAGGAAGGTGACATTTCAACTAAATTCATTTTATAACCCAAATCCTTCCACGCCTGGGATAAGTGAAGAGCACTTTCTGTCTCTAGTAGTAAAACTTTTTTTGAAAATATTTTTATTTAGAAATAATGTCAAACTTACAGAGAAGTTACCAGAGTAAGAACAGTTCAAAGAACACTAGGTGTTCTTTATCCAGATTCATCTACTGTTAACATTTTGGCCCATCCTATATAATAAAAGCCTAATATGCAAATCGACCGAACAGCAGAACGACCAGTCACTATGATGCACACTGACCACCAGGGGGCAGATGCTCAACATAGGAGCTGCCCCCGGCCCACAGGCCCCAGGCCAGCCAAGGCAAGTGCCAGCAGGGCCTCCCCCCCAATCGGCCTGCAGAGGGAGGTGACCAGCAGCGGCGGTGAGGGGCAGAGCTGGTGAGCGGGGGCACCAGGCTGGCCAAGGTGGGTGCCAGCAGGGGCTCCCCCCACCCCGATTGCCCCACCAGTCGCCCCACAGATCAGTCCTGATCACCGGCCAGGCCTAGGGACCCTACCCATGCATGAATTTCATGCACCGGGCCTCTAGTTTGCTTTATCATCTTTCTTTCCCTCCCTTCCCTCCTCCCTTTCCAAACTTCTCTAGCTTAGCTAACTAGATCTTTTTTTTTCCCCCTGAGCCACTAAAAAGTAAATTACATGTACTGGGGCCCTTTATCTCTAAATATTTCAGTGTATATTTCCTAAAACTAAGGATACTCTCTCATATAACCAGTTCAGTACATTTGACTGCTCTAAGCTACTGTCTGTCTTCCAATGTTGTCTATTAAGCCAATAATTTTCCCCTACAGTATTTTCCCCCTACTGTGCAGGAGCCAGTCTCGGGCCAAATATTGCATTTAGCAGTCAGGTCTCCTTGGCCTCCTTTAATCTGGAACATTTTCACAGCCTTTCTCTGTCTTTTATGACACTGACATTTTTTGAGAGGACAACCCTCTTCTCCTTTCCTTAAAAATAGAACCTTCCTTATTTAAAGTTTTTGTTGTTTCCTCGTGATTAGATTCAGGTTAGACTACTCCGGAAGGGACACAGTGTCCTTGTCAGGTCATTTATACCTGGAGGCAGAGAGGTTCGCTGCCCCCGCTGGTGATGTGAATTTTGATTACCTGGTCAACGTGTTGTCCAGTTTCTCCCTTTCATAGTTACTATTTTTGTCTTGCAAGGAATCTGTAGTGAGATAGTGTAAGACTAGGTATGTATCCTACTCCTCACCCAGATTTGCCCCTAGAATCAGCACTTTGATGATGGCTGCCTGACTCACTCTTTACTATGGTAGCGGAAAACTGATTTTCAACTCCAACACTCCGTCCACCTTTACCAGTCAGCCTGTGGCGTTCTCTTGAAAGTAAAAGCCCTCCAGTCTCCTCCATGTATCTATCTAGTTATCACCAATATAGATTTCAAGGATTTCTACTTTTCTAAAGGGTCTGTAATACACTACTGTCTTTAATTATTTTCGTGTTCAAATTGTCACAAATTTGGCCTGAGCAACTTTTAAATGTCTCACTACTTACCCCTCTGAGCAAATTCTAATAATAGAACTTGCTTATTATGAGGATTCTGTTTGCCAAGGAATCTTACAAGGTTAAGGCATATCTAAACTTGAGCAATAAGATTCAATTATTTTTCTGAGTCCCCTAATGAAAACTGAGGTATGTAGCCACTGACTTACATACTTGGTCCACCACTGTGCATTACAAAATGGACTTCATTCAAATGAGGCTACAATGAAAAGAAGAACTGCCAACATTAAGAAGCAAAGAAACAGCTAGGGACAACAAAACAAGCCGACTGTACTAGAGTTTTGCTCAGTCACAACAGAACTGTGAGGAACTTCAGCATAATTCACAAAGACAGGGAGCTCCTGTGAGCCTCAGATTTGTGGCTGTAGCGGAAGTGAGTTGACTGTGGGTGAGAATTAGGTTACACCCTTTCAGACGTACCTTGCGCAAGATCCAAGAGGCTGAGGTCATTTCCCTGCCCCTTTCTGACTTTCCTTGCTGTGATTCAAATGCTGAGGAAACCAGGGTTGTTTCAACAGCAGTACCCCAGCACCCACTCCCCAGCTTCCTGCCTACAAAAGACAGCAGCCACAGAAGCTTCTCCATTCCGGCCTCCAGATCCCTGAATCACAGCTACTGCAAAGTGCTGTGAGCTCATCAGCCACAGAACAGAGCACCGCCCCTAGGGCAGTGGTTGGCAAACTCATTAGTCAACAGAGCCAAATAGCAACAGTACAACGATTGAAATTTCTTTTGAGAGCCACATTTTTTAAACTTACACTATATAGGTAGGTACACTGTTATTAACTTAATTAGGGTACTCCTAAGGCTTAGGAAGAGCCACAATCAAGGGGCCAAAGAGCCGCATGTGGCTTGCTAGCCGCAGTTTGCCGACCACGGCCCTAGGGGGTCAGTTCTGGGTGGGACTGCGGGTCATTCCTGGAGGCCCAGCCTAGAACCCCTCCTTCAGCTCTCCATGCATTTTGTAAACACCCATTTCCCTTCATAAACTCTTCTGATTTAAACTACCTACAGCAGTTTCAGCTTCCTGCACTGAAACCCGAGGGAGTGAGACAGATGACAGAGAAGAAAATAAACAAGATAATATAGAGTGTGATCGCATCTAAGAGGAAATAAACAGGATGTGTAACAGAGAAAAGAGAGAGGCTGCTCTGACGATGGAACCCGAGGACAGCGGCACTTGGAACCTGATCTCTAAGGTGAGGACGGTAAGTTGAGAAGGAGCCAGTCATGTGAAGGGCTGGTGAAGTTCGCCAGGCGGGGAAAATCGCCAGGCGGGGAAATCGCCGTGCAGGAGCACCAAGGTGGGAATGAACTGGGCAGGCTCAAGACACCTGCCGGCAGCTAGGGTGGCTACAGCAGAGGGAAGGAGAGGGAGAAGGGCAGGAGGTACACTGGAGGAGGAACGCAAAGGCCAGACCGCGCAGCCCACAGGAAGTGGTGTGGGTTTTATTCTAAATGTTACAGAAAGCCACTAACCAGTTTTAAGCAGGGAAGTCCCCTGAATGAATGTTTGTACAGGAGCACTTGGCAGAGGGGAGCTGGGAGACCAATTAGATAGGATGCTCCCCCAGGACCACGGGCATGAGAAGGCAGTGGTGTGGTGTGGGGAGCTGGTGGTGGAGATGGACAGAAGGCATTGGTTTGCAGTAAGGAGCCATGTTCTGTAGGTAGATTCAACAGGACTAGCTGATGACAGAGAAATGGAACAAAAGAAGGGTCAGTTGCGGGGAACAGAAAGGGAAAATGAAACATGAAGCAAGGGGAGGGCTTTATTGATTGTGCAATGCTGTTTTATAAATTGTTCCCCCAAAGGCTCGTGTTTGCTCCTGAAATAATTGTGGGAAGGGCAATTGTCTCCAAGTTGCCACAAGTGAAATGTAATGCTTTACAGTCTTTAACAAAAAAGATAGGAATTCACTTAAGCATGTCACATGTCACATGTCCCTCAGCAGGAGCCTAATCTGTTGTCAACTGAAACTTCCTTCCCCAAACAGCAAAGTTCTGATGTGGACAGAGCCTTATTTAAGTTAAAATGTAACTTCCTCCTCCATAAGCTACAAAGGAAAATAAAAAGGTAAATCTTCAGAAGAAAAAAGGATCCTTTCCAAGCCAGTATCTTTACTTTTTAAATTTCAAACGTAATTAGCAATGCGATTAGACTCTACAATTTATGAAATCAGAGGTTTGCTTTATGTCAGATGCAAAAAGAACTCCATCAGTCTCAATTTTTCTATTAGGAAAAGTTGGGAGGAATACCAAATGTTATTATTACTAAATAAGCAGCTTGTTAGAAATGTGAATACTGCAGACTCCTAAAAGCATTAGGTATATGAATAAATTATAATCGTCCTCACTTTGTGAATGCTCCCAGCTAGACTGCATAAGTCATTCCACTTAAGCCCCACTGCAGGAGTCACTTCTCCAAAAGGACGCCTACCACTGTCTGTATTTTAAAATAAAAACAAAACAACTTCCCTCCCCAAACTAGTTCTTAAATTAATATCAGCAAATAAATATTTAATGTCAAGATGTTCACACAGACACTGGGGCAGTGGGGGCTTGCCCAGGGTGGGAATGGTTGTGGGGGGGTGGAGAGGGCGGAGGTCAATTGGGGGAAAAGGAGACATATGTAAAACTTTAGACAATAAAAAAAAATATATAAAAGATGTTCAATATGCCCAGTTGCCGTATTTGATACAATCTTACTACGACTCTTTCCTGCTCTATAAAATTCTAACCATCTGAATGTACTGATAAAAAAGCAAAATATATACATATTGTCAAATGAATGGTTGCAACTAAGCATTTACACTATGGCAGGCACCAAGTGTGACACCCGGCTACACACAGGGACTCTATAAGGTGGGCATCAGGATCCCCATTTGACGGATGAGAGGCTGAAGTTCACACGGTCACACTGCCAGCAGGTGACAGAGCCCAACCCAGGTCTGCTAACCTGCAAGCCCACCTGTGTTCCGTCCTCTCTCCCACATGCCTTCCTAGGCACGGACACAACAAATCTGAAATTCGGGGGTGCCTGATAAGAGGCTGCTTTTGCTGAACTCTTTGTCCTACTTGAGACTGTAGTAATGGTGACGGTCCCTTTCATCCAACTGTTAATGGCTCAGAAATGCAAATGTTTGTTCATCTTTCTAGCAAGTCATGTCAGATAAATAGCAACTGCCTGGGGGGAATAAACTAGAAAGTCCTGGAAAACCGTGACTATTTTGGACAGGGTAATTCACACAGCCCTCAGGCCTCTCTTCATGATGATGTCACGGGGTGGGAACTCAGTCCAGCACTGGCCCAAATGTACCCTGCTCTCCAGTCTTGCTTTTCAATACCTAACACTTTTGCTTGATCCCCATCATATATATTGGCTGCTCATTTTTATTTCTGCCTGGGAAGTTCTATTTTATCCTGGCGAATTTTAATGTTTCAATTGTGAAAGTTTACTGAGGTGAGAGCAAATGGCCACAAGGAATCCTAATGGGGTGACGGACATGCTCTTAAATTGACTGTAGTGGGCTGCACAACTCTGTAAATTTACTAAACATCACTGAATTGTACATTTAAAGGGAGTGAGTTTATGGCATGTAAATGATCTCAATAAAGCTCTCTTTTAAGTATATGGAGGTCATGCTAACAGATGATGGGGGGTAATTCTCCTTTCTGGTTGAGAGGATAGAAATCTCACACTGTTAGAAAGCACTAAGGGGAGTTCCTTTGCTGCTTTCTGTGCTGGTTTCTTTCGGAACACCTGGGCGCCTACATCCCATCCCACTGGGTGTCACAACACATATGCCAAAAGAGAAATATTTCTCCTTCCAGGCAGCCAAGCATGTTAAATAGTTGTTGAGCGCCTGCAAGGGAAAGGAGGAGGGAATGAATATTTGGAAAGGCTGGAGGAGGAGTGATCCCTAAGGAAGGTCTTAAATGCTAAAGAGCAGTGGCCAAGTGAAGGAACAGCATCTGAAAAAGCTGGGAAGAGAGACAGGACTGACCTTCTGGGAGGTGAGGTATAGATGGGGATCTACAAGCACTTCAGCATGGTTGATGTTAAAGATCATGTTAGGAATACAAACTCCCAGGAGCCACTCAGACCTACTGAATAGGAATGGGTGGTGGTGGGACCTAGGAACATCCATCTTAACAAGCCACCCATCCCCCTAACCAGGTGCTCTGTGCTGACCAACGTGTGAGAACCAGTGAGCTGGCTCCTAAGCAAGGCCTTATGTGCCATGCTAAAGTGTTTGCATTGTACCTCACAGGCTGGGGACAGATTTTTAAGCAGCAAGGTGGCAATGGATTTGAACTTTAGAAAGAGCAGTCTGGCATAGCACATTGCCTTGGGGCAGAACAAAAATCCCAGAGCTCCCTCCAGAGCCCAGGAATCCACAAACATTGTCATCTCCTTTAGCTTTTAACCTCTTACACTAGGTAACCTAACACAAACATGCCTTTGGTAGGTCCAAGTCTCCAACTAAACATCTAGGTGCTAGGTGAAAAAAACTGTAAGAACCACCCATTACGGCATTCACGAATATTAGCGAGGGGACCTTTCCACACAGCAAAATGTGTGGAGAAACCAGAGGTTACCACACATACTATTTATGTGTTGGTGGGCAAAGCCATTTTCAAAATATTAGTGACTGCCACTCCCTTGCTCACAAGTCTAACACTATTCTGCTTAGACAGGCGGCCCTCTGAGACCATGTTGACTTTCTTTTGTGGTGTTTGCCCCTCTCCCCTCATTGTCAACCATCCACATCCTACATCCTTAATAGTAATGCTTAGAGCCAACATTTGCGCCCCACGACCCAAACGCATTATAGGGCTTTAATCCTCACCATAACCCTCAGAAGGAGGTTCTATTATCTCCAATTACAGATGAAGAAACTGAAGCTCAGAGAGATTATTCAAGGTTGTACATGGAGGAGAAGGGATATCCATGTGACTCCAGAACCTGTCTGATACCACTTCATGGAATATGCCAACTAGATTTATATTTTCTCCTAGTTTTTAATGCCTATACAAATATTTAGGAAATAAGCAAATTTATAAGGCTTACAACACATTGTAAACAAACTTACATACAGCTCTAGAAATCACCTAGTATGGGGGTCAGCAAACTTTTTCCATAAAGGACCTGTAACTATTTAGGCCACGTAGGCCATACGATCTGTGTCCCAACTACTCAACGCTGCCATTGTAGTGCACAAGCATCCATAGGCAACACCTGAATGAATGGGGGCATGGCTGTGTTCCAATAAAACTTTATCTACAACAACAGGCAGGAGGCAGGCAGGCTACATTTGGCCTTCCTGGGACGTCCCCTAACCTAGTAGAAAGGGCACAGTACATAGAGTTAGAGCATGTGGCTGCTAACCCTGGTTCTGTGCCCAGGCAAGCTGAATGACCTTGGGCCAGTCACTTCCTGACTGTGTCTAGGATGGGTACTTCTGCGGAATTTTCTTCTCAATTGACTGCAAATATAAGGTGAAACTATTTGAGTACACTAGAACAGCCATGGCCGATTTTTCACCAAACCCATAAGTAATGAACAGTACCAGCAATACCTTAGGATAAAGCCTAAGGGAAAAGAGAACTGGCTTTCAAGAGTACTTGAACGTCCAGGCGCTTTGTAAAACAGAATCTTATTTCATCTTCATCATCAACCTTATAGGGTAGATATATTCCCATTTTATAAATGAAGAGCATCCAACTAATCCAATAACATGCCAAAGGTCACAGAGCAAATGAGAAGCCAGGATCTGAACCCAAAGCTGGCCGCTCCCCACAAGCTCAGTACCGCTCTGTGTGGGGGCTGCTTTGGGCCAACAGATCCTCGGTCAATGATTCTGCACAGGTGATGACTATGAGTGCTTCTCGGAGAGGGTATGGAGTCAGGCCTCATTCCCTCATTCTCTCTTCAGGACTCTCTCCTTCTGTCATCTGTCTTGCCCGCCTCCTCTCAAAAAGATCAGACCCCACTGGGCCTGAAAAACGAGGTGAGAATCTGAGGTTTGTTTCCTTTAGTTCTGAATGAAAGAATTGGGATTCATAAGCAGACAAAGACCGGGAACCCCAGGACTCTAGGAGAAAGTGCTCTAAGGAAGCAGGAAAGGAGAAAAGAAGGACTGAGGAGCCCCTGAGAGAACGCCTGACTGGTCCTGCTGCCCACACCAGAGGGGACGGGGTGGTTCTGTGTCTCAGAACTCAGCCGAGGGTAAGTCTATGTGATGAAACATAAGCCTATGGAGTTACGCAAAGGTGTCTGCCTCTGTCTCCTTAACCGCTGCATTGCAGTGTATAGTTATCAGTTTAAAACTGCATTTTGGAAATGGGGTTGGGGAAGGAGAAAGTGAAACCAAGAAATGTTATCATCAATGCTTCCTTTATTCAAAAAGAGAAAGAAAGAGAGAGAAGGGAAAACATTCCATAAATATGGGAGAAAACATGTGTCTCTCTCCACTGTCAAAAATAAGAAGGAAAAAAACACACACAAAAACTCCTTAGCTGAGGGCTCAGGGTGGATCTAAATCTGCTGGAACACACAGCGCCACTCTGCTGCCTCAACCACCTCACCGCTCCACGGCCTCCTCATGCTTCGTCCACGCCTGAGCATGTTCCCCTGCCGCTGCCTCCGCCTCAAGGAATGAAGGTATGATGTGCTCCGCCACTGCCTGCTGGAATGCCACCCTCAAGGGCCAGGTCAAATATCACCCTCTAGATCACAGATGTCAACGGCAAGAGGAACTTCAGAAACAGACCAGCAGTGCCAGT